ACGAAGTTTTAATAATAACAAAATAAAGGAGATTTAGGTCTAAATAAACGTGTGTTTATGCAAGAGTATGTGTGTCCGTGAGTGCACACCTGCCTTGGTAAAAATTAAAATGATAAATATTATTGTCCATACTGAATTTTGGAGAAATAATGTGAGATTAGTAGGTACTAGAGTTTGTAGGAAGAGTTTTGGACAACATGTAAATAGCTCACTGTACAGACCTCATTTTAGCATTTAAGAACTTCAGGGCTTAGTAAGCACCTTATAGAATTTCAGATGCTTGATGCCTTCCATATACAGAGATTAGAATTTTGCAATGTTACTTGTTCAAAACTCAAATAGCCAAATTAAAATATGTAGAGAAGGAAAAAAAATCAAAACAATGCAAATAATTATCTATTAGTATACAGGAGTTCAGAGTTTCCTTCATCATGAAACAGAAAAGCCTCTGGGCCACTCTATGTGAAGCACAGTATCTGGATAAACTCAGTTGAATTGTAAGAGAAAATGCAAGGTTTTCATGAAGAAAATCATGAAAACAGTCATTTCCTGATTTGACATTATATAGGTGAGTTCTTCACAGGGAGAATATTACTGAGTTTTTGAGAATCAAGTGGACATAACATTTCAGAAGAATTCAATAAGTATTCTTCAGCAGTGATATTAGACATTGGGGCATTTCAGACAATGAGTAGTGTCACCCAGAACACATTTTCAGTCATCTTAAGTGTGGAATTCATAACTGGGAATTTAGAAAATGGATTCATAGCACTGGTGAACTGTGTGGACTGGGTCAAGAGAAGAAAGATCTCCTTAGTTGATCAAATCCTCACTGCTTTGGCACTCTCCAGAATTGGTGTACTCTGTTTAGCATTCTTGAATTGGTGGGTATCTGTGCTTTACCCAGTTCAATCAAGGACTGGAGAAAGTTTAAAAAGGATTTATTTTACCTGGACAATAATTAATCATTTCAGCATCTGGCTTGCTACAAGCCTTTGCATTTTTTATTTTCTTAAGATAGCCAATTTTTCTAACTCAATTTTTCTCTATCTGAAGTAGAGAATTGAAAAGGTGGTTTCAGTGACACTGCTGATATCTTGGTTCCTCTTGTTTTTAAATATTGTGCTGTTGAACACATACCTTGATGTCTGGATTGACAGATATAAAGGAAATAGGACTTTTCATTATAGTTCACGGAATCCTTCAGTATTTTCCACACTTCTTTTATTCACCAACACTATGTTCACATTCATACCATTTACTGTGTCTGTGACAACCTTTCTCCTGCTAATTTTCTCTCTCTGGAAACATCTGAAGAAGATGCAGCACAATGCCAGGGAGCTCAGGGACACCAGCACCACGATCCACGTGAAAGCCTTGAAAACTGTGATCGCCTTCTTGCTACTTTATACCACATATTTCCTGTCATTTCTTGTACAAGTTTGGAGCTCTGAGTTTCTGGACAAAAGTCTGATCATTTCATTTTGCCAAACTGCTGGAATTGCTTTTCCTTCAGGCCACTC